TTCACCAACCTGTTTAATGATGACACAGAATTCCATTCCATTCAATTCCATCTTCTAAAAGCTTCAGTATAAAAATAATTGATTTTTATGACTAAATTTATGGGTGACAAACCATCTTTTGACGCTGAATCTTTACATCTTAACGACGTTCAACTAAATTGGTAACAATACTGCTAAGCCTTTTGAATTTTAATTACTTCAGCTCCCGTGCACATAAATACTTTTCATAAAATTAAGTTGTCACTAAAAACTAAGCCATGGATCGCATGCGCCGCCCGGGCTGTGGGTTGAGGATAATTGCTTTAAATGCTTTGACGTCAATGCTTTATCAAGGGAACCATCAAAACATCTTTTAATAAAAGTTGAGAAATATAGTTCGTAGGATTATGTAGCTTTCTTTGTGCTACGTAAACAAGACTTATTAAGCTCCACATTATGCATAGGGAAGATACGACACATGCATTCAGTATTTCCTCTAGAGATCAAGGGAACTACTAGAAAGCCAGGTCGAATTAAGCCGCTGTCTGGAAAATAATTATAGCGGCTGACTGCTTTGATCGGTAGTTTTCGAATATTTCTCTGCAAATGCCTGAAATTAAGAAGTAAGGTACTGACCGCGCGAGAACATTCCTTCTTCATCCTGGTCCCCCTTTCCCCTTTAAGCACACTCACACTCTCATGCTCTACATTACCTCGCATGTCGAGAGACCATTCACGACTTGTTCTGCCAGGGGCGGTGTCCCGCCGGTCGGAGATACCTGAAAAGAAATATCCGTAAGCCGACGTGTAGGTTGGCGCTAGATCTCACTTCCAGCGGGAGAGGTACACCACCACCTTCTGAGTCAAAAAATGCCCAAAAACTTACAGGACTAATGTCAATAGCAGATGAAGTGTCTGCACACATAATAGTCAATGAATCCAGGGTAACAAAACAAAAACCCGATCAAAATATAGGTCATTGTTTGCTGTAGATAGATATATTAATTAAAATTGTTTTCTTTTTCACATTACTTTATTTTTAAGCTATTAAAATTAATATGTTCATTACGACGATTCATGAAATCCGAAATTTTCAGAAAATTCACTCCATTCACCTAAAAGAACGAAGAGATGAGTTTATATTGATTTGTCTCAATAACAGAGCGAAAAGAAGAAACTTTGAAATCATACCGTTGTGGGACATTTTCCAGCGATTGTTTGCAATGTTTTAATAGATAACACGATGCAGGGGATAATAAACCTCCTTCTGAATTGTAACTGATTATTTATCAAAATACTTAAATCACCTAGTTTCCTTTGGATGTCAACGTTTTCTGTTTGGAAACGAATACGAAAAAGAAATAATGAATGTAGTAGATCCAAGAAAAAAGTTACATTCTGCGAAGAAGTGAAATACCATTTCGAAACATAATGCTCAGTACTCCTATATTTGGCTAATGTAAATTGGGTATAAAAATGATTGCGAAAGAATACACGATGCTTGGTCATAACTCTTGCCCAAAATCATCACAAAGATTACCAAATATTCATCAAATCACTATAATATTGAAGTTAACAAAACCAATATCTACAAATATTCGTTACGCTCTTATTCCATTTACGACCCTTTCACTCGCTTTTTTAATTTTTTTTGTTTTACAAGAAAACCGTCAGATAAGAAATGATTTACACTCTTGAAAAAGAGGCGAGTAGCTACGCAATATTCATTACAATTTCAAAGCGTAGCCTATGGGCATTTTTTAATTTCCGATTTAGCTCTCTTTGTTCACATAGTGGATTGAATTTAGCGGCTTTGATAAAGTTCCGATAATATTCCGAATAATATTCGGATTCACAAAGCAGTGTTGGAAATGTGCTCTAAGAGGTGGTTAAAAAACGGAGATACTTATGTTCAACATTTCTGGTACATCACTACAGTATTACATTTCGTATATAGAATAACTAAAGTGTTTGAAATGTATCGACAATTATCATAGAACAATACTTACGTCGAAAGGAACATTGAATTACTTTACAATATTAATAAACTATTACTCAAATTTTCATTTAGGTCTGCTGAACGAAAGGTCCATTCTGGTTTCTGTCTCTGGGCGAAACAACAACAACAACAACAACAACAACAACAAGAACAAAAAAAACTGAAGGTAGGTAGGCTTAAAAAACCCATTCAAATCATTCCCCCGTCGATTATTTGATATCCTGATAATTAGCTTACGTACATTCTTGAATTCTAATGATACACAATCTGTCATCAATTAGTTTGATGACGTTCAGGAAAACCGAAATGCGAAGTGTTCTCGAACTGAGAGAGTTAAAATTATATACTAAATGAAGATGAGAGTTGATAAAATTTGTATGCAATCAGTGTCACAATAAAGACGAGCTACGAACACAGAAATGTTTGAAAGAAAAAAACAGGCAGTTTTAATGTACGTATTTGGTATTTTCATTCAGTCTCTGAAATGAAATATAATTTCTCAAAACTATTGCAGTTCATAGATCTTTTCTTGGGAGTTGTTATACAATACAATCCTTATTTAAGCTGGCAATCTGTAAGTAATGTACTTCTCCTCATAGTATATCACAAACAGTTTATAACTGTTTTTATGTTAAATAAATAAATAAATAAATAAATAAATAAATAAATAAATAAATAAATAAATAAATAAACAAATAAATAAATAAACAAATAAATTGCGCATTGATTATATGTGGGTTCTACAGAGAAAAATGGGAAGGAGACCAAAGGGCGTTGAAACAATTCATAATTTAAAAATCACCCATTTGTTCTGCAGCATTACAATACTTCTCTTTGCTGCGTAAGTAGGTACTAAGATGAGAAATTTATAAATTAGGTATGCTATCCAGTTCGAAGGGTGAATTCTCAATTAGGAAAAGTTAAGTTTAGTGTTGGGATTGTTGCACATACCAACATGTCGAGAGTTAAACTACGCTCGTATGTTGTAATTTATTATGATGTTCATTATGATTTTATATTTATTCTTGCGCATAGCAACAGTTGGTACTAGTGGGAAAAATTACTGCTTTAAGAAGATTTTGACAGAACTTCTTTCAGTAATATTTTTTGTCTATATGAAGAAAATGTGCCTATACTTTTTTCAATAAATGTCAAATGAATTATTGTCAGATTTTACTTTATTGATGCATTTTGTATATTTATTTCATTTTTTACTTCTTACCCTTTTCTAGAAGACAGCAAGTGCAAGTCTGCTCTTTTTCGGCTATGCGCACGTATTCATTATTGTATTCGTATTCATACTTGCATATTTCTATTTTATATACCATTGAGTTTGCACATGTTTATGTTCTCGCAAACTACTTGCGTAGTATTGAAAAAATATGCTTTGGCGAGAAACGACGATTTTTTGACATGAAAACTCGTATTATTGGCCTGATATCGAAATATATATAAAATCTCTTTCCTATTCCACTAATACGATGTGTAGTAATATTTCACGTATTGTGAGTCCATCAAACCGAAAAATTGGGTGATGGCAAACTATCTGTCTTTATGTTCGTCTATCCGTCTGTGGTCAAAGCTAGCGCGTAAACCGTTTACACGGTTTTCTCCAGAACTGATATTCTCCAATTGATCTCGGCGAACTCAAGGCTCGACGACTTTGAACAGGATATTTTGGTTCAGGGGTACTTTATAAGACGCCATACAACATTTTCAACATTTTCTTAACAATAGCTCCAAATGATTTGATTATATTTCCTCTAGGAATAATGGATGCTTAAAAAATGGTTCAGGTATCACTTCCGTTAAACACTTTGAATTTTTAAAACTTGCAAACATTCAAAATTTTGTCGGCGCTATTCTACAACTACAATATTGAAGACTGATATTTTTCTTTAATGAAATTTGCTCTTTAAATTCACATCTTTAAATAAGGTGATTTCCAGTTTTTTTCAAAATTACGAGTAGGGTATACGTAATTTTGCGTGAAGTAAGGTACATTTTAAACAATTATTTTGTCAAAAATTGTTCCAATTTTTTCTTTAACTTTTTTCTTCAGATAGGACATAGAACAATTAAAGAAATGGCGTAGGTCTAATTTTTCGTTGAACACCGAATTTCTAAAAGTTACATATAATCTGAGACAGAATATGCTGTTGTAGCACCCCTAGTTTCTGCTATGATAACGAGCTGCATTTGAGGTTCAGACTATCTTTATGGACGTACACTGTTTTTACTAAAATAATAAATAAACACCATATTTAATCTGAACAAATTGCTGAGATCGCTAATGCAGTAGTTCTGTAGCGATCTCTGGACCAAAAGATCGCGGGTTCAAACCCCGCGTCCAGAATGAGTGTTTGTGTTTGTTTGTATGTGTGTGTCGTCCTCTCACCCCTCACTGTCATCCTCATCATCCTTATGCCTTCCACATCACAGGGCTAACAACCCTGGGGGAAGAAAGTCGGATCCGGCTAAATGCTGATACCCTGATGAAAATTGCATGCACCTGCCACCGAGATAATGTTGCTAAGCTACTGTAAATGCTGGGGGCCTACGGTCCAAGTCGGCCTACTCGCGAGCAAAAAACCAACAACAATAGGTAGACTGGAATAAATTGATTATTTAAAAAATCGACCAAATATCAACAAAAGTATTATTTTTTGTAATAAAATATGGATGTTCCGAATGATTTCGTGGCAATCGAACTGCGGCAGGCTCCCGCGGCGTGGGCCGGCTGCGCAGTAAGTGCGGTGCGGGCGCGGCAGCGACCGTGTTTGCGCCGTGCAGTCCCGATCGCTTCGCTTCTGGTTGCGCTCGCCGGTACATAAAGCACGGCACAATGGGGACGTAAATAAACCACGCAGCGGGTAGGGCACGGTCCATTAGCTGGACGGGCGTTTAAATACACGGTGCGGACGCAGGGGCGGCGGCACGCCGCGATAGCGGGGAGTGAAGGGAAGGGGGCGTGCGGTGGAAGGTGGACGGCATCAAGACTGGGGGGGGAGCAGAACGCCCTATGTGGGATGGTGTGGGGCTGTGGACACGCCGGATTGTGGACGTGCAGGTGGAGGAGCTGTATGATCGACAATGGGCATGGCGGTCGTGCCGAACAGCTTCTGCGATGGCCGCCATGAGGGGGAGGCGAGGTTGCTTACAGCTTCGCGGGACATCGAACGCACTGCGTCGGTGAAAGAGTCAGAAGGGAGAAACTTGGGATAATATAGAGTATACGGAACAGGAACGTCCATAGTAAGGGGAAAACAAGCGTTACCGCGTTCCGACGGAGGATGACGAAATGTGTTGGTGCATTCAACAGTTGCCGTACAATATATGAAGCTGTAACTGATAGGAACGAGATGGATACTGGGTAGTAATGCCAGTGGAATGTGGCATGAATATCGACGATCGTTTGGGTTGTTTGTTAGCCAACGCCCACCCTGGGCAGGGTAGCCATTGGTGACTCGCCGACTAGATAGACGCGCAGGTGTTTCCTCAACCTTTGTTAAGGATCCGCACGCCCACAATGGTCAAAGATGGCGAATCATTGTTGTTCATTTAGCGGTACCAGAGGACACGTGTCTGTAGCCACAGGATCCGCGAGCAAACTTTGATCCGTGTCGAGATCGTACACGAGAGAGGAAGTTGAATGGTGAGAGTAGGAGGCCTTAAGTTGAGATGGTGTGACGTCATGGATACTCAGAGTCGACACAGACACAAATTTCGTATAACGATATATGTATTTATTACAAGAAAACAAAACAAAATTATATACACTTAAATCACACTTTAATAACCCTAGCTCTGGATAGACTACTATCCCCTGATCGCGGGAGGCGATCCAAAACCCCGATGAGATGTTTTTGATGGTGGCTTTCGCCCACGCCTACTTTTGAAGCGCGCACAAAGCCTAGTTCCGTGACCGGATGTCAGCTGCGGACACAAAGTCCGTTCTGGCGCACCAACGGCTGTTTGCCCTCGATCGCAGGAGCGGATCTTATTCGAATGAGAATCGGCGTGAAGTCGGGCACTCAACCACTCTTCACCTCGGAGCACGCAACACGCATACGCTACCCCGTGCTCGCAGTCACCCAAGGACATAAGTCCGCAGGCTTACGTCAAACTAAGACTCCAGCCTTCCGCGAGCCTGGCTCGATATGCACCGTCTTGGCCGCCAAGTTTTTGTGCACACGCACGGGGTTCTCCACCGTCTCCAGAACTCTGCCTACTGGCTCCGTACACTCAGTTATATAGGCGAGGCCCACGTGACCTCCTAACGTCACCCACCCCTCGCTTGTTATAAGCAGTGAAAGGCGTCCTATAAGCCGGAAGACACCCAAAGCTTGTCTCTCCCGTCTTCCGCGTTTCTTCGCCTTTACGGAAAAAAACCCTACTTCCTGTGGCGAGCTAATCCTGCCCAAGCGTCCCCAAATAGATTGCCACGAGGCACGCTGGCTATATACGTTACAATGGGATGCAGCGAATTCGGCGCGGCAGACGTCACGCGGGAGGTTTGAAAAGGTCGTTTTGTGAGTGCTTGTCCGTTTATGGCGATGGTGCGATAAAAAATTATGAAAAATGACGAATGTCAACTGAGAGTTCAAGGTCAGCGTTTATAACATGTATTAAAACTGAAGTTTGAGAGAAAGTTTTATACCATGTGTCACTACTTTTCGTCACTATCGCATTTAGGTGCGATATTTTGAAATTGAACCGAATAATATTAGGATGGTATTCAGTGCTGATTTAGATGTTTTTGGACAATCTAAATGAAAACACCAATAAAAAAACTCAAAACTTGACTATATGGTTTGGCAGATACTCTCGAAAAAAGACATCTTATGAAGCACACCTCTTCAGATTCCCACATGGTCCAAAAGGAATTACAATTTTATGCCAAATATAGACAAATTATGATAACTTTTTGTCTCCTTCCCTTTCAATTGTGCCCGTTGATAAATATTACTAATTTTCCATGCGCGCAGTAAATTGAGAGAACACACCACAAGAAAACTAAGAATCATTCTCGTTACGTGTGAGGTCTATGATTTTGTTACAATCCCCAGGAACGGGAAATGATAAGAAAAGACAGTTTCGATTTTAAACTAAAAATGTTGGCAAATATTGTGTTGCGCTTTATGTATATGTTTATTCCGTCTAGTCCCATACCGTGCGTAACGATTAAATTGGCATAACTCGATTCGGTCACTTCTTACGACATACAGGCGAAACGTCATGCAGAGCAGGTTTCAAGAAGGAACTGATTGCCATTGAACGCATTTGAATATTATGTGTTGTACGTATGGGACCGCAACTTTTTAAATATTCTAGATATGTAAGAATTATTATACTGTTATCGTATATATTTAGTAGTAAATCATGCAGTATTCTGTGAAGACTGTTTTTGTTCTAAAATATTTAATATAATTGCAGTTTATATGAGAGCTATTATATTGTTTTTTCTAGAGTGGAGTGGGTGCTAACTTTTGAAAAACCATTTCGTGTGGTTTTCTTCAGCAGCATTTTTGTGATACAAGCCACTGTGTTTATTTTATTCACATTAAAAACCAACTCAAGAGCCATATTTGTTCTGTGTATGCTGATAGTAAAGAGATTCGTATGATTTCCCGACAAAAAAAACTAAGTTCACATTTAATGCTGATTCCTCCGATTTTGGATTTTTGTAGCCCTCGGTGGAAATGGCAATAATGTGAGATAGAGTTGTACATAGATAACGGTTGATGTTGTTTTCTGTAATGTGATGATAATATTCTAGAACACTAATATCACAGACATTAGTTCTTTGTAATGCGTTTCATATCCTACACTGCGAGGTTACATTGTTTTCTACGTCATTATCTTCGTTATGTGCCACTAGAAAAAGTGACATAAAGTCGTTGTTTTTTTAGATAAATAAGAAAAATATGATTATAAACTTGGGGTATTTTTACTGGTAATAAATTAATTTAAGTAGTTGTAGCAGCACAGTAAAACGCTTGTCTACTAGCTACAAAATTACAGCCTTCACTGTTAATCAAACAGTTCTTGGCAAAAATGACATTTTAGTTTCACTTTTATTGCGCAGTAAGGATTTACTATTTTATAAATATGTTGTATTTGTGCTCTTAAGCTTAGAATTTTATTAAAAGTTGTAGACTATCACGTTAAGCCTGCAGCAGAAGCCGCAACTTGGGCTGGCAACAAGGTTCCCTATCAATAATGTTAAAAATGTCATGTACATCCCACCCCGTTCCGTTTCTCATAGCCCAACTACGTCGACTTCTATACAAGGTCGTCACCACATCTTTAACTTCGCCAGTGTCCGCTCCCCTTGTTCATCTGTCTGCACCCGCCCCTCTTCTTCATCTACATCATTACCCTGTCACCACACCGCCAATCTCGCCGCATTTCTTGCCCTCCACCATTTTTCGGTGTCATCTCCCGCCATTTCGCCCACCACCCTCGCTCTCCATCATTTCTAAACAACCCAATTATTGTTTGGTGCCCTGACCCTCCACCATTCTATCCTATCACCATCACCATCATCTTTCTCACTCCACCGCCTTGCCATCACCTTTGTACTGCTGTTTATCTCCCCCCACCATTGCTCTTCAAACGCTTTTCTGTCACTCTCCACTCACTATTCTCGCCCTTATCCTTCATGGAACTTTTCGTTTCCGGTACTTTCTTGACTTCTGGTACTTCCCCTGGTCCCACTCCACAGTTTAACCCCCCGCCCTTTGTCCTCAACCGTTTTTACTTTGTCACACGAGCAGACGCGACTCGAGTTCTTGTGCGCTCTTAACCTCCTACATTCTACCCATCATCCTAACAACCAGGTAGTCTCCCGGGGCAATGCACTCAGTTTCTACTTGTCACCATCCGGCGGCAGCGGCTCCCCCCCCCCGCCGCTCTGCCCTAGACCATGTACCATGTCACTTCACCATCATTTTCGGGCTGTGCGCTTCTCGCTTCCACCAGTCTACGTTGTTCAAAATTCAACCACCATTGCATTCGCCGAGTTTCGGGTGTCCTCCACATTCTACCCTGGCACTCTCATCCTACAATTTCGTCCCGCCGCCTCTTGTCCTCCCCCGTTCTACCCTGTCTTTCCCTCACCGTACCGCTCCCGCCCTTCGCTCTTCCCATCTGCCTCTTAGCCGCCGTCCTGGCCACAATCCTCTCTCGCCCCGCCAACGCTCCGCCTCCCCAACGGCCTTCCCTCGGCTCCGCCCGCCCGGGGCTTTTCCGCCTGCGCGTCCCCCACTCGCTTTTATGAGAAAACAAAAAACGGGCGAGGTGAGCAGCGCTGCGAGGTCGGCGGCGCGCCGCCGCCGCCGCCGCCGCCGTCGCGTTTTGTCACCCGCCCGCTCGTGGACGGAAGCGCGCTTCCGAAAGCTTTTCGACGTACATTTGCGCCTTATGGCGCCGGGTTTCTTGAACCCTCCCGCTTGGTGGAGCCGCCGGGTGCGATTAGGTTATTTATGTATTTATACGTTATTATAGGCCCCTGTAGTTATAGAGCATTGAAATGAGGTGGTTAGGGGTCGTTCACGTCGAAGTAAATGTTCTTCGAAAGAATCGATACATTTATCGGTTTGTTTAATGTGGGTTTAGTTTAACGCATGTGCCATGGATAGGTGTTGTAAGTCATCTCGCTTGAAAATTGATTTGCTTTCATTTACGAATGCTGAGCGGGCCATGTCGAAGATGTTATTTCTCGTTTATTTTCGTTGTCGTTGTGAAATAGAAAAGAGTGGGGAACTTTTCTATGATACAAAAATGATGCGTTAACACGACTCTTCACTCGCTAGAAATATAAAACATTGAAGTAACAAATGACCTTCTGCTGTCAACCAATGAGATGCAAATTATGCGGCTAATATGGAAAATACTTTTTGCAAACTGGCCATGTTTTCTTTCATTTCATATTTGTTGTTAATGTATTATTGGCCAGAAAATTACAGAATTAGGTACTATCAAATGACATTTTCTAATATGAATACTTTAATGAATAACAATCAAAAATACCATTCGCGAAATCAGTAATCTGATAAGTTCAATTACTTTTTTCGTGA